GCCCTTCATACTTGAACTTGTCCCCCGACCTTTGTGTGGTGCAAACGATAAACTCACAGAGATTTTATTTTAAACAAACCTACGTTTTTGGAGCTACTTTACACAACACTAGTGTTTAGAGTAACATAACAAACATGTGGTAGCATATTTTATATGTACACATGTTGGTATTTACAAGATCTATTTGATGTGTTCAGAAGCAATGTAATATTTACAGTCATATCATAATTAAGAGGTAGAATGTTATTCTTATTACACGAGAAGAATTAAATCTGCTGCTTTTTTTACTAATCTAATGACTAAAACATAAAATCGCAGCTTTTAAAGTAAAATCACATTTGAAAGTAAACAATTCTATTGTTCTTTTACACTCTTCACTTGGACCACACTTCATTCTTGACAATTTCAGGTTGGCAAGATTAATTATACGTGTAGCAGCCAGAGATCGCTGATCCAAATAAACGATGAAGCGAAAATGTCCTCTAATTTCACAACACCGGAGATCTTAATAGCAGCTTAATACAGTGTGGTACCCAAGCTTTTATCTGCCTAATTTATTAAGAGAAAGGTGCCTTCATCATTCCTTTGTTAGTTAATTACATTTGTATTAATTACCCTGAAGAGGGAATTAAAAAATCAGTACTTAAAAAAATAATTCTTTGTAATACAACTTTCACCATAACAAGTTGGTAGAAAACAGGTGCGAAACAATAACACATCCGAAATTGGGTGCACTAACCCATAACCTTGACCATGCGATGCGACGACGGCGACCTTACGGAAGTTCCGTGAGCGGGAACTTGGCAGAGAGGCGCGGCGTGCATATAGCAGCAAGCGGAAGAGGGAGCGGACAACAAAACGATTTATTATGCTAAGCTTTAATCGTTGCTTTTCTTTGGAGAAGAAGTCAAAGGAGCGGATCGCGTATTATATGATCCAATGCCCATAGACATCCGCAACGCGTCAACGTTTCATCTTAACTTCTGTTATAGGGAACGATCGAATAAATCTATAGTAATTTCATAATGCATGCAAATGTCTAACGTTGAAATAAACAATGTAACAATCCAAACCAGAATAATTGTAATGATTCATTTATTTAGGAAAGGACTTTCAATTACTTGCACTAGACCAACACTGATTTTTTGATGGGGAATTTAGATATACGTTTAATCAATTCCGCTACCGCTCATCACTGTGTACATATACAGTATAGCGCTGCGCTAGAGCGAGGCGCGGTGGCGTTTGGAAAGTGTGTCAGTGTGTCAGAGCGCCCGCCTCCCCGCACTCGCGCCGCACTCTCCCCGCACCCGCACCGCGCACTCCCCGCACTACATCCGCAAACACACCGGCATACAACAGAGAAACTACTCCTCTAAGCATTTATGCGTACTTACATCTGCTTACCACATCACTAAAACTATGAAGACTCAATACCCTAAATAATGTATTAAAATAAGGTAGCTACAAGAAATGTACTATGAGATTTTGTAGAACGATTCGCAAATCCTTAACATGAATTTTTCTTCCTGAGTCGAGGAAAAAATAAAAATAAATCTCAAAGTGAAAGTACTGCAATTTGCAATGTGAAGTAAACATATTAATAACTCCACTATTTCGCGACGTTCGAAATCCAAAACCGTTACCAAAAAAAAACCGAACAGTTGAAAAACTCCACTGTCATCCGTGTCACCTACATGACAATTGGAGCAACGAAATCTTTCGGTTTCTTGTGAGATAAATGCCAAGTCTAGTAAAAGCCTGAAGAAAGCACAAGAAAATAACTACTAAGATTGAATTTTAAAAGAACTTACAAACGATTTTTCACAAACTTGTAGTGCTTTAGTTATGTTCAAAAATAATATTTAAATATGGGACTGAAAATATACAACAACCCACTCGACTACACTCGGTTTTACCATTTTTTGGACCTAGGATGGTTTAATATTTTTTTTTACATGGTCTTGACGTAGCAAATAATAAAACTGTAAGTGAGAACAAATATTTTTGTCTCAACTTGAAGGAACCTTAATCCTCTAATTTGTATTTAGTAGTCAGAAAAGCGATGATAAATCGGTTAACATAACGAAGTAAATAGCTGTAAATACTCTGCGATAGCTGAAACGTTAGGTGTCGCTTCAGTGCGCTAGCGGCTGCCCGCGGGGATTACAGGGGGGGAGCTGGAGCCCCCCTCGGTTAGAAAAGTAAAAGTCATGGCGTCGGCAGAGTAACTGTACCCGCATTCGCTCTCTGCGCGTCACTGACACAGTTACCGGCGGCTATTTCGCGCGGAACAAGTTACTTCGCCAGTTGACACACTTTGCTTCGAGGAATTTCGCATTCGCTTAGACTTAACGTCGCATCATAGTTTTATACGGGATATTATTTTAATGTACTAATCAAAGACATTTACATCAACTGCCTATTGAAAAACATTTTTGGATATAACGTCATGATACTCAAATACTAAACTCTCCAGCTATACTAATATTATAAAGGGGAAAGAAATGGATACTTGAATTTCTGTGAGTATTGACGTAACTCAAAAACTACTGGACCGATTTCAAAAATTCTTTAACCATTAAAAGGCTACGTTATTACTGAGTGACACAGGTTGTGATTTTTACAGTTTTTTAATAAATTTAAACATGTTTATCATACGAAGAATCCCTATATTTTTCCAAAAGTTTAAAGCAAAATTACAAATTTTATCACAGATAATCTCGAGTGAAGAATTCGGTGCACCACCAAAAGGTAATATAACCGCATTCGTGATGACTTTATTATGCATTGACTTTTCCGATATGCGGTCAGCGAGTTGCCCATTCATTAGTTTGCGTCGTAAAAACACCGTAAACGCCGAGTGGATAGTATCCAACCGACCATTGCACACTGCGTGAGGAAGAATGCCTATAAACATACAAATACAATCAGATCATTAAACTACGGGACACATGTACAATCGCGGAAATTCTCGGTGTCCTACTTAAGGTAAAATTGCCCTGTTCATTACCAAGAGATTAATTCCGCTTCTTCCTACAACTAATTAGATAGCAGTGAAAGGGATAACAAAAAAAAAATGACTAACCGTGTATCACTATCCATTGATTCGGATTATTCTCAACCGTCACCCCGCTTTGTCCCCATTTAGACACAGATGAGAATAAAAACAACTTTTGCGACGAGGAGACGGTTGGAACTTATTTTATTTTATAACGGTTCCATCTGTCACCTTTTTGGTGGTTGTGGGACTAAATGGTGGGATGGCTGAAATTTTTTATTCTCACGTGGGGACAGAGCGGGTTGAATTGGGAATAATCCTTTTTTAGACAGATACATTTTTAATGCGTTGTATTTTGTTTCGCATCTCGTTATAAAATATTCAAACGATTGTCGTTTTTAAGGTAAACAACCGCTATTTTCCCCGACTGTACATAAAAACAGCTATGGATTTTTTAAGTTATATTTGAACTTTGGACTCATGACATACTAGAAACTAAACACATCTTCATGCTGACTGTACTTGGGTGACGGACCAGGGCGCTGGATATAAAGGGCGCCAGTATCTGTCTTATGTAACACTGTTACACTGGGTTCCGTAGAAATATCGCGGAGGCCGATAGCGGTAAAACCAGCACTAATGTGAGCAATAAAGATCTCCTAAAACCTAACTCAATGAAGATGACAAAGGTACCGTTACCTCCCGCGCATAACCAACTTGGAGCATATCGACAACTGTTAGTTTACCGCTAAACGATCCCTTTGTAACAATTTACTGAATGTAGGAGGCGATTTTGGTGTCTATAACTTAATAGGAGCTTTAAAAGGTTTTTTGACCGACTCCTTATTCAGAACTGATATAAATTCGCCAGCTAAATGTGCCTTGAAAATGGCAAAATTGAATATATCAATAACCTTTATTAAATGAGGGTCTATTATAAGAGAACCTTTATGTATAGAACTGAGTCTAATACGAAAGAAATACCTAAATTACGTGATATGAAAACATTTTCGCTTGACATTAATTAGTATGTAAGTACAAATAAACGCTAACCACGTATTTAAGCTGGAGTTTGCTCTTGTCAATATCCACAGTATGACTTTTTATTGACTGATCAAACATCGGCTGAATATCAACACGCTACAACTTTCCACGCATACAAACAATTGTACACGTATACACACAGACACAACACACGTGCTAGTCTAGACCAGGCTAGACATTGTATTGCAGCTGTCAATTGTCAATCATTGACACAAAACAAAAGAATGGTATCTTTACGCGGAGTAGATGCGAAAAAACATACTTATGAATATTTAGTAACAATATTTATGACTTTTCCGAATTTAATTATAAATACTTGTTTACTAGATATTTAATAGATTTAAGAGTTTAAATTAAACTCAATATGATGTTACCCCGAACAAAACTATTAATAATTCATGACAGAGCAATTACTTTGCCTCAGCTATACTTTGAAGCGCTTTGACGGGTGTTGAACTCGTTGCTATAGCAACATCCGTGATAGTTGAACATTACGTTGGCCTCTTATCGTCGATAGAGGTTAGCCGGACACTATTCAAATTGATGCACATTACGATAAAATTTCGCAACATTGTAAAATAAAGGTTACTTGAAAATTATGTGAGAAATTTTAAACCAATTTCACTTCAATGAACAAAACAAATTAGTTTTATGTTTTTTTTTTTTTTAATGTAAGTAAATTTTTGTTTATTTAGGAATATTTATTTTATGTTTATTACTAAGCTCTAAGCTTGTGCTAGCATATGGTATACGACAACAGTCGAATAGCGGGATTCGAACCCTCGACCACTAGACTATTGGCGCAAATTGCAAAAACACATTCGACATATGACAATTTGAAACTCGAATAACCTAATAGTTATGTTACATTTAATTGGTATAGATGTAACTAAAAATAGGACATTCCAAATTATGTTCCAAGAGATTTCATCGACTAATTCATGGCTCTAATATCTTATCAAATTGGATGAAGACATCAAATCGGTAAGAATTGTTCTAATCCTCGTACATTGTTCCATTGAAAAACAAATGAATGATAATCAATGTAGACTATGAACAATACAGGGTAGATAGAAGGCAACGATATAATTTCTCTAAGCCGTGACAGATGTGGGAATCATGCTATTTATACTTTACTGAGAAATAACGAGAAGGTCGAAAAGAAATCTTAAATCTGTATTGTAAATCTTTTTAATTAACACGAGCATTGAACTCTTACAATACAATATTAAACCAAATTAATATGAAAAAAAAATGCATAAAACCTTTGTAGTGGTTTTGTTAAATTAAGGGTAAAAATTCTTTGAATATTAGATCTGCCAATTTGTTTCTTGTTAACGATGAAATTTTAATTGAAAAACTCATATAAATAGAAAAACGTCCATCTGCTAGGCCCAATATTTAATAATGCATTTGCTATTCTAAAATATTACCATGTTATAAAGGCTTTGCGTTCGGAAAATGCAGGCTGTATCGTTGAGTGGGGGTCATGCGGCGGTGTGCGTCGTGCTAAGCCGGGACGTCGTCAGTAGGTCAAGAAACAAGGTCGGCCATTTCTCTCGGCACGTGGCCGGTGTGCTGGCGGTAGGGGGGGCTGCGGGAGCAGGGAAAGGGGGGCGTGGGCGTGAGCTTAGATCGAGCTCGCTTTGAGCTGATGGTAACATATCTTGTGCTTAGCGAAGAAGCTGTATTAATAAACTCATAACGAAATAAATTAGTACTTATTCAGTTTGTAAATAGTGGTTAGATGTTATCGAATTAGTCAAAACTATTTTAATTGCACTATTTAGGAACAGAACTTTTGCTAAGTTTTAGAAATCCTTTATAGTTTTTTTTTATAAAATTGGAGCGTTATTTTAAGTGAGACTAACATTACCTAGGCAGCTGGAGTACAAAATTTACATATATATTTTTTACTTTAACAGATTCAAAAGTTTTATAGCTAAGATTAACTGTTCGTAACTGGTTGTGTTATTTTTGTCTACAACTTTAATTGAATCTGTTACAACTAGTTTTTAATAAAGTAACGTGATTATTAATACAAGGGCCGTCAACGCCCACTGGTTTGTCCTCGATGTTGCGAAACGTAACAAGTTCAATTGACTTCTTTCATTGATACCCTAAGTGGTACTAACGGGGAAATATGGTAGAAATTAAATTAAGGGTGCACAAGATATAGCAGGAAATATAAAGCGTTATAAGAGAAAAACAGTTTGAGAATCTTAGATAATTAGTGTATAACAATCGGCAGTCGAATTGTATGGTAAAATGTTCGCTCCTTCTGCACAGTGCCATGTAGGTGGACGTCATTATACGAACGACCCCAAAATTAATGTCACTATATTCGGCACGAGAGGAACCGTTACTTCAAATTGTATATTGTATCTGTCAATCTGTCTGTACGTCTGTCTATTAAGTATGAAAATTATACTCAATTAAATTGTATTCTAGTCCTAATACTGGTGTGTAGACGTACGTTAATTCAACTAGTTGAAATAATTAATTTCAACGTCACAACAGTTTTCGTCCAACTAGTTGAATTCAACATTTATGTAGGAATCACCGATCGTCTTTAGTTTTCTTAATGTCTTTAAGTACTTCTTTTATTGTATGATTAACTAGTTGATAAAATAAACCAGTTTTTCAACTAGTTGATAAATGTCAACGGTTTAGTTTTGTTGATATAAAGAAAGATTTTACTGTATGACAAATTTGTCCTCCTCCCTTTCACCTCTGTTTCTAAGAATTAAAATTCAATATATTTTAAAGCTATGAAAAAGTTAAGAAACATGAATTTAATTAAACACAGTATTTATAAACATATATTTTACAAGATACATTCTTCACCAAGTAAAAGATTCACTTTCAAATATTTTATCAATTTAAACTTCGATTCGACCTCGATTTTTGTAAGCTCGTTAAGCGATCGGAACCGACAATTATTGTATGCATCTCCAAATAAATTAATGTCCCAGACGACTTACTTATCTCATTACAAGCTTCTGCATAATCTGATCCCTCCACCTGTCTACCCCTCGCCCCACCCCGGTAGTCTACTTCCCTGGCACACATACCGACCGGACCGGCTCAAGACCTAGATATTTTCGGCAGAACTATCACACGCGAATTTGAACTTTAACACCGTAAAGAATCGATACAACCCATCGAAAGAAATTGCAATTAATCGAACCACGATAAGATCGATTTTCGATCGGCTTCGAATTTCGATTCTTGAATCGAAAATGCGGCGTCTTTGATGAACGATTCGAATTCGGACCGCTTTGCCATCGTTTTGTAAATGTACATTCTAATTTGATTCTTAACTTGTAAACGTAGGGTTTGAATTGATTATTGATTGAAAGTGGGTCCGCCAGTATGTCACATAGGTCTTTGAATATTGAGGCGCCGAAATCGTGTTTCTTTTGAATGTCCCAGAAATTTGAGCGTTGTGAATCCGTTGTTAGTGCCGGCTTTGATATGCTAACTTTTACTATCTTCAGCTTTAGTATTATCTATTCTCGGTACTAACTGGATTAATTAATTTTATATAGTAAGTAATGTAAAAAGAAACTTTGACATAGATATTTACAACTCTGTGAGTAAATAGTTAACAGGTACTTGGTAGGAAACTTACTAGTAAAAAAGCGAAAGCTTATATGGATGGATGATTTTCATTATCTCCGGAACGGCTTAACAGATTTTGATAAAATTTGGCATAGTTATAGAAAATAATTTGGAATACCACATCATATGTAGGCTACTTGTCTTATTTTACCGCGCGCGAAGTCTCGGTCGACAGTTAGTAATTCAATAAAACAATCTCTATAAATCAATAATCTTTATTGGTTTCCAAAAAACATGTTTGTAAAATAATCGTAATTTCTCTCGAGGAAAAAACAAATCAAAATCTGAGTAAATAATCATCTTAATAAAATATATAGTCAATGAAAAAACTTTGGTTGTAAAAACAACCGAGCCAATTTATGTTTGGCTATAAAACTATAAAGTAAAGAAAAATGCAATTAATGAGTTCAGAAAAAAATGTCATCATACTTATAACTAAAATTATTATCGTAGAAAAAAATCAAATATGATTTATCGTTTACAAAATCGATTAAACAATGTTATAACATTAAAAAAGTCTTTTCATAAACGAATAAATCGATTTGATTAAATAATTGTTTTTATACAGTAAAATGTAATAAACCACAAACACAAAAAGATATAGAATGCTCATATTCTAACTTTTTGTGTGGTTTCAAATATTACATTGGTCTCGTAGTCAAAAATTAAAAGTGTAAATAACTTCACAAAATGTAGTACATAATTAACAAAGACAAATGTGTAAATTGTATTATATCGGTCACAAAAAAAACTTATTTTATAAACAAGTAAATGTCAAATTTATATTGAAAAATCTCATTGATTGTTAACGCTTAAAACCATGAGACGTTTTTTACAATTTTTCATAATGTTAATCGAAATTATATAAATGCGCCATCTAGCGTACTAACGCGAAAATAACATGACAATATTTAAAGAAAAAACAAAAGTACGAAATAGTAAAATATAAAAATAAAGCTAACGCTTTCAAATACCAATTAGGAATGAAATAATTAGTAATTTACTGCGTTAACTTCTTCTCCAGCTCTGCCCAGACAGGGTCGAGTGCGAGTTCTCCACTATACACCCTGTCGGCCAGAGAGACGGCGCGCGTCGCCCCGCGCTCGCCGCGCTCCCCCGCCCCGCGCTCGCGCTGCCCGCGCCGCCGCTCCGACGACATGCGCACGCTGCGCATTATGGCAGCCGACCGCTCGCGCTCTGAAATTCATCGTTAACCATTAATAAACTATGAAATACAGAAAAATCACTACTGCAAAATCTACATCATTAGCATAAGATTGATTACATTATCATGAGTTAACTTTGCTACGAGACGAGTAGCAGAATTAATGTAGATGAAGCAGATGCATTGGAAATATGAAAAGCAATGGGGTGTTGTGACAGTAAGCGGGAGGCGAGCATGAGACATGCAGCGTGCGACGTGCGGCATGCAGTGAGCAGTGTGCAGGGTGCAGCGTGCAGTGAGCAGCGTGCAGTGTGCAGTGTGCAGCGCGCAGTGAGCAGTAAGCAGCGTGCAGTGAGCAGTGAGCAGCGTGCAGCAGGCGGCGTGCAGCGTGCAGCGTGTTACCGAGCTGCGAGGCGAGCGGGCAGTAGTTGTTGGTGTGCGCGAAGTCGCCGGTGGCGCCGCAGCGCGCGCACACGTGCTCGCGCAGCACGGGGCACGTGACGCGGCCGGCGCGGCGCAGCGCGTGCGACTGGTAGTACGACACGCGCTCGCCATTCGCGCGGCAGAACGCGCACCCGCGGTTCTACACCACATAAACTTTAATCACATTCCAATAGTAGGCATCAAGCTAACCGTCTAGTGGCAGTGGCAATGGCGGAGGCGTGGTGGCAAAGCGGGTGTAATGTGTGCGTACCTCGTCGCTGCGGTCGGCGTGCTGCGGGCGGTCGAAGGATCGCAGCAGCTGCAGCAGCGCGCGCACCACGACGCGCGGCAGCGAGCTCAGCACGCGGTATTGCTCCTCAGTTATGGCCTCCCCTGCCAAAGCGCCAGCGCCCATGTCTGAAACAAAGGGACTTATTTTGGCCCAGCTCGATATACCCTATAGCTCGTACTGTAAAACGAAATGTTGAAATGCAACCTTGCTTGACTTAGATTAGAGTTTAACATAAAATATCGTAGTCTTATAACTCACTGTCAGCGGAGACATAGCCGCGGTCGAGTGCGGGCATCGCGGGCGGCTGGTACACCTGTGCGGCGAGGTGCGGCGCGCGTGTGGGCGTGCCGCGGTGCGCGCTGGGCTGCAGCACCATCGACGCTAAGAACAGAAATAGTCAATAAACTAACCACATTCATACGGAGATGTTTAAATTCTAATGATACTCACCAGCGCGTCTGTTTACGCCGTCTACATCGGGATCGTACGGGGAATCGACGCCGTTCATTCGGAACTCCTCCATCACTCTGTCTACGTGGGTTCTCCTGCTCACTGGAAACATAGAAAACGTTAAACATAAACTTTAACATAGAATAGGTATAATAAATTATGACATTTCTAAGTTAAAGAACAATTAGCAAAGTCCTATTAAACCTTGCAAAATTTTGGATCAGAAGTGGTTACGTTTTATAATCTTCAAAAAGAAGATTCTCAATTCTTCTCTCCTACTTTTATGAGTTACATAGGATTTCTTTACATTCACGTTTTGAGAGCAATACATTGTTAGTAAGGCGTTGCTAGATGCCTTACCATCTACGTAGCTGACAGATCTGCCTCGGGACGCGTGGTTCAAGGCTGATAAGTGACTCTCGGGCGTTGGTAGCGACTGACTGCCTCCCCACGAGTACTGGAAACAACAAAGAATATGGTTCAAACTCTCAAAACCACAGGATAGAGATTTTGTTAACTCTCTCTAAAATTATATAACACTAGTTTGACAAAGTTGACCATTAAAGACTTAAACCGTTATTAATTTGATAAAGTACTACTTGCTCAAGTTCTACGAACTTAAGTTATCTGTTTGTTACTTAGAATCAAGTGGGCAAGCGAGCAGAGTAAACGATTTCAATGAATGTATGCATTTCTCTATCTATTTTGTTTAAATATTTAAATGGCTATGACTTTGTTTTTGACTTGCTTTTATGTTTGGGTTTACATATTAAAAACTATAAGTTTACAAACTAAAAAATCCGAAAAGAAGGGCGGCCAAATATTAATTTTTCTCTACCGCATTTTAACTTTTTTGCACTTGTTTACTAGACCTCTATTGTATTTTTTCACAGGTCATTTAAGTGTATTTTTGAAGAACTGTATATAATAGAGAGAGAGATGAGGTAGACCTAGAAAGAGATGGATGGATTGCGTGAAAGGTGACATGATCAAGAAGTGAGTGATGACTGAGATGACGGATGATAGAATGCTTTGGAGGACGAAAACCCGGTGCGCCGACCCTACGGGAGTAGGATAAGGTAGGGGAGATGATGATGTATATAACGCCTGGATATAGACAGGTCCAGTACACATTAAAGGCCAACTATTACATTATACCAGAGCAGATTTTGAGTGTAACTGTCATAATGTGAACCAAGCATAATTTCCAGTTACATCACGATACAAGTACCGAGAACTCCTCCAACAATAATTTCAAAAAGAAGAAGAAATCTTTGCACATACGATTAGCTCTATATGTTAAAATTCGAAGTACCCGCAATAAAAATACGATAAAGTGTCGCATTTTCCAATATTTTGTTTAAATTTTCAATTAATCTACTATATCTCCGTACATTAAACAATATGAAAACCCCTTTCATTTCTCCTTGAGTTGTGTAGGTAATGTAATTCTAATCAAAACATTTACTCAAATTCTTAACCTAGCATTGTAAGAATAACAACAAAGATAAGCCGTTATTCGATCTGTCCAGCGACAATGGCGGCCGATTCTATTCATTACTTAAAACTTAATGCACGGCCGCCATGTTTTTTATGCAACAAGTTGCATTGCATTCGTTCATTTAGTTTTGATGAATTGAAAAATCCTTGCTTCTTGTGCTAGAAGTCTTACGAGCTATTAGACAAATGTTACTGGCTAATAATTGCCAGTATTTTATTTTTATTTTTTTATCTGCATAACGTAAACAGATAATTTTGTACACAAAAAAGTTGCGCTAACAAACTCTCGTTGCAAATCAAAACAGAAACTGCTTTTGAAACTTGACTCGCTCTTAAGTTACTTCTTTGTTAACAATAACTAACTTACCAAAGTCGCAGTCATCAAAACATTACATTTAATTAAGTATTCAAAATTAACTTGTTAAGTAAATTAAATTAAAACTTCGAGAACTAAGAAACAATGTTTTACAAAGTACCGACGCAGCATAATTGTTGTTTATTGAAAATTTGTTTTTTATGTATTAAAACTTACCGAATCTAAAGAAGTGCCGCTGCCACTGCTGTAGTCACTGTGATGGTTCATTTTTATTGATTAAAAATAATCCAAATTAATACAATAAAATGCGTCAAATATAAAAGTCTAGGAGCTAAAAGGCACCCGTCTTCTACCGCGGCCGAGCGGGAATGAAGGGAACGACACTAAATGTATGCACAATGAAATGGCCATTTTTGTTAATACTGCAATTATTTCCTATTCGTTATTTAAAGTATGGTATGTATTGTTTTTTTTCACTTCTACAAAGTACCTACGCAATTTAAATTGTGATTTAAGTGTTGCCAAGTTGTTACAAATCTTACCTCTTACTGTAATACTTATCATACTAATATAAATGAAAAAGTTTGGATGGATGGATGTTTATTAGAGTTGGTTGTAAACTGGTGAACGGATCTCGATGAAATTTGTCACAGTTGTAGAACATAGATTAATTCTGTTTTATTTTTATATTCCTCTTGAACGAAGTCGTGGGCAAAAGCTAGCACAGTAAGTTATATTTTGCTTTGTGAGTATTTTTAAAATTATGTGATGTTATATACTTACTTGGTGGAATACAAATTAGATAAAAGTTTCTAAAACACTATTTAAGTAGCAAAATACCTATTATATCTAGAATTAGTGTTTTGTTTTTCTCAGGATAGTTTATTTTGCGTCATCATCATTCTTAGACGTTGGACAAAAAGCGTTAAAACAAACATGAGTCGTTTTATCAATCAGCGAAATTGAAACCAAAGGGCCTATCAATAAAGTTTTTATAGTTGCGAGAACTTCTTCATAACGTCATCGATAAATTTTAGTACGAGTATGGCTTGTTATTGTACTTTATGTCCGGTAGCAGCGCTGCATGTTTCGAAAATGTTCTCACGAATTTTCATGATAGTCCAATTTTGTAGGAATATGATTCTATGCACTTATACTGTGAATTTACATAGACTTAATACGATAGTTAACGCTTTATCTAATAACATTACAATAAAATATGTGATCTAAAATTAACTCAACATATTTTGTGTAGATTATTTGCAGGGGCATTATTAAAGAGCTAGTGTACTAAGAGCAAACTAGATGGCGTTGATGTCAATGATTCTTTAAAAAGATAAAACAAAATTTAAAACTGTATTGTATTGCAGTAAAATATGTGATCTATAATTTGTAACTCAACATTTTTGTGTAAATTATTAGGCAATGCCGATAAACGGGGAATGACATTATAAAAGAACAAGTGCTTTAAGAGTAAACTAGATGGCGTTGATATCAATTATTGTTTAGACAGTCTAAACTAAATTAAATAATTAATTGCGACACCAGCGCTTTATCGACTCAGATAAATTTTTCTCCCTAATCTCAATAAAAACAGGTTAAAAGACGTGGTATTTTGTGCCTGTTTGATTTTCGCCATCGGCGCTAATGGTTGCGGTGCCCACAATCGGAACTAATCTGTCATAAATATCTCAACGAAACAAAAACTATCACTTCCAAGCAGCCATTTTTACAGTGATTTGGTTGTTCTTGTTTTATTGTACTTTATTCTTATTTTGCCAAATAAGCTTTCATTTATAGAGAGATATTGTAAAATAAAACAAAGTTATAGAAACATAATGGTTTATTACAGCCTCGATTGCATAAGATATAGGATCTCTGTCAATACTGATTGTTCCTTACGATGCAACTGCAGCCGGAGATTCCGAACAACTTTTACGAGAATAATCACAAAATTATCACTGGTTATGTGTTACACTGCGAGAAATATACATCATGGAATGTTTAATTTCAATATTCCAATAATAATGCAGAGGCAAGTCTACTGTCTATTTCTAGTCTAGTATACATTCTTTGATATGAAATAGGTAATCTAGTAAGAAATAATAATTTTATTTTACTATGAAAGAGATTCGAATAAGGCATAGATTGTTTATTAAACAGTTTTTGTAAATAATGGTTGTTTTTCTTTCGTGTTGTCCTCTCTATTCATATGTTGAATGTCTTTGGTTCTTTTAGTATATTTACTGTACCCTTTGATTAAATATTTAGAATACAATTTCTACAAGCAACAAGATCCATATGTGGTTAAAACGGACATTACAAGCACGCAATTTTATTAATACAAATAGTGTTGCCATTTGAAGTAAAAATGACTTTATTTGTTAAATATGTAGTGAGTAGTTTAGTGAGCGTACTGATTCGTAATAAATGTTTGTTTGAATGTGTTTAGCATACAGAGAACACAGTGTAACACAGTGCCGGGCGGTGCAGGGCGGTGCTCAGTTGGCGTCGACGAAGTACTCCTGCGCGGCCTTGGTGTCGGGCTTGATGGTCTTGGCGCCGGGCTGCCAGTTGGCGTGTACTGGAAGGCCTGCACCAGCCGCAGCGTCTCGTCCACGGACCTGCAAACACGCGACACTTAGTACGGATATTGCCACACAAATTATAACAAAACCAGATATAAACCATTGCAGAATGCAATCCTAATCTTCGTTTAGTAATATTATAAATGCAGAAGTTTAGATGGAGGGATAGATGTTTGTTAGAGTTTGTAATAAACGGTTGAATGGATCTGGATGAAATTTGGCACAGATGTAGAGGATAAAGGTTATGGTTCCCATGGGATTGTATTAGTTCTTATTTATGTTTACTGTATAATTCTGCAATAGTTCAAAATAACTTATTGAAATTTTGCACAGATATAAAACCAAGGCTGGATAACACATGGGATATTATTCATCCCCGACAATGTCAGGTTCTCGAGGGCTACGTGTTTTTTGTTTTATGTTAATATGTTTTCTAATACTGCGCGTCCGAAATCGCGAGCAACAGCTAGTTACTTATGTAAAATAAATTATAAATTCACATTTTTTTTTCCGAGAAATTAAAGTTGAAATACTGTTTCTTAGAGATTGTTAACATATCACTTAATCATAAAATGTACTTCAACGTAAACATCACAATTCAATATAGATATGGTTTTGTAGTATGATAATCAGAGTGAAAGTGCGGGCACTGTACAGTCAGCTGCACAAATGTATCATCTAATATCATAAATGCGAAAGTTTAGATGGATGTTTGTTAGTTTGTAGCCTAAATAGCTAAACGGATTTTGATGGAATTTGGTACAGATGTAGAGTATAGTATAGTATGGAAGAACACAGGCTATTCGCTTTTGTTTTTTAATTACAAACAGACGGAGTCGCGGGCGGAAGCTAGTTCATTTACAAAACTGTACAAACCTGCAGACTTTCAGTTTTAAATATGACGTATAAAGGTAATCAGCATTAATTGGAAGCATTAAGCAGATAGATACGACATATATTTTTGAAACTGAAGAATTTACAAGTTTGGAATAAGTTGGTAAAGGTAGGTATTGAAGCTGACTGTACAGGTGGTGATTTGCTTTTAAGTGATATGACAGTGCGTGACAGTCAGTGTCTGCGCGATATCTACACAATACTATATCTACTGTCTACTGATAAGTCTGATATTTTTTACACTTCCGATTATCATATAATCAGTATCTGTATTTCGTAGTAGTAATAGTTACTAATAGGACATCGGTGGCTCAGTGGTTTAAACACTTGACTTGTAATCTACAGGTCTTGGGTTTGAACCCTGCCATGTACCAATGTGATTTTTCGAATTTTCATATGTACATAATTTACCCGACGTTCTTACTGAGAAGGAAAACATCGTGATGCCTGCACATATCGATAGAGAAATTCAAAGATATGTGTGAAGTCAACCCGCAGTGCTGCGTGGTTGACTATGGCCTAGTCACCCTAACTTAAAGTAGACTCTAATCCCCTTAGTGGCGATGTATAGTGAGGTGATGATATGATAGGAAGGAATGTAACGAATAAACCTTACTACTTGGTAGATTTTCATCATTAGATAAAAAAATCGCCTTCCTTCTACAATACAAAAAAATGTTTTCTAGCATCGGTTTCCCCTCCTTTGTACCTCTTTAAATTTCTATCATTATTGAAAGAACCAACATGTCATAGATTAAATTGAAAAATTACATAAAAAAACCGTAATATTAGGTTACTACTAAAACACAACTACTGTTAATAATATTTTTAGTATAAATAAACTTATCAAGAAGCTTCGATTAATTACTTAGTGTCTTTTATATATAAAAAAAATATTGTTAATACTCATTTTAGTTAATTTTCCGAAATTTTAAAAGTGATTTTCCTATGTAATCAAGTGTTTGTGTGTAGTGGCGGTGGCGGTGG